TTACAGAAGCGCAGTGCCACAGGAGAAAGGCACAACTTGTCGAAAGCAAGTTTTGCCGGTCTCGCGGCGTGATCAAAACTTCCTTGGCACGCCGAAGTGCTGCATCTCTGTGCCTTCGCACGCTTGGATACCGATCAAGAATCGATGCTGCGCCAAAGTTAAGAATCTGTGTCGCGCGTAGATGTCTTTAAATCATATATATATATATATATCAACCACGGAGTTCTGGATCGTCCGGCAGTTCCGGTGAGTTGCTATCAATAAAGGGGGGGGGGGGGGGGGGGGGGGGGGGAGGTCTGTACGTGCTTTTGTGCACCATTAACCATGGCTGCGTTCCAAATCTACTCTAATGGATCACGTGGGAGCACAAATAGAGCAACGCTGTGGAGCAAGGAAGGTTTTGGAAGGTAAAAGTACAGGACTGCGAGATAATCTTTGAAGCGTGGCCCACATGGTCGTGTGCAATCTGTTAACGAATCACAATTAGGTGAGCTACGCGCTAACTTCATGTCAAATGCTGTTGATAATGAGCCAGCACTGATCAGTGATGAGTTGTTGTGCGCAGTATTCTGTAAACCGTATAACGACAAAAAAAAAAAAAAAAAAGATATACCGTCTTCCCCTCTTCCGTTGCCACTAAACGCTGGATCAAGCTCATTTCTGGACCGCGAGTGCCGCAAGTTACAAATACAGCCCAGGCGAAAATTTCTAACTGGGACCAGTTGGCACCTCGTTTCAACTGGGACTAACTGGTACCAACTGGGAATCAACTGGGACCAATAGGAGTCCAACTGGGACCAGCTGAGGGGTCAACTGGTTCGAACCATTCCCAGTTGGGAGTCAACTGGTTTGAACAATTCCCAGTTAGAGTCAACTGGTTTGAACCATTCCCAGTTGGGAGTCAACTGGTTTGACTCCCAGTTGGGAATGGAGTCAACTGGGACCAGTTAGGAAAGTAACTAGTTGGAGCGATTCCCAGTCGGACTTCAAATGCCTTTCCCGTTCCCAGTTCACACGGGGCAACAATTTTGACAAGTTGGGGGTGTATTGACCTTTGCTAATGAAGAAAACTAAAAATACTTACATTTTTAGTGTTATACAAAAAGGGAAATTTTTAATTACTGGGTACATTTATATATTAATAAAAATATTATAAAAATTTTAATTAACTAAATATTTTTTTAATTGGAAATTATAATTAGCAACAAAATGTGTTCATCTAAATGAACATTTAGTGCATCATTAAAATATATTAAAACATTTATTTAAACAACTACAGTATTTTTTTTCGCATTTGAATAAAAACATATTAATGCAGTGCGTTCACATATTCACGCACTTATCCATAGAAAACAAAGTAAAACAATGGTTCAGTAAAATAACAGTAAGAAGCTTGCACTGACAACTTATACAATGATTGGATAACCACTTAAATCAGCCGCCCCATGTGTTCTTTATTCTTTTCTTTTCTATACCAACTTTTACATATCAACCGCAGCTGTGCCTATGCCAAATTGGCTATGTCTAAAAAGGAAAACGTACCTTCTTTTAGGGATTTTCGGGGAACCATGATGTATTAACGCAGACGTAGACAAACTAGTGTTAAAAGTTTTACACAAAACCTCGAGACTCGCGGAAAAGAAAGGACAACACAACACGAAGTCTCAAACACAGCAAGTTGGACCATCGAATTCTCAACTGGAGGCAGATATTGCGTACATCGGTATGTGCCTTAGGATCAAGTACATCGACCGTGATTGCTTCGGACTCCTGGCGTCAATGCAAGTTGGGGGGCATCGCCAAAGGGAGGTGCTGAAGGATAAGAGTTGTGTTTGAGACTTCGTGTTGGTGTTGTCCTTTTTTCCCCGTCTCGGGGTTTTGTCTAAAATGTTAAACCTTCAACAGCTTGCTTGCGCCCTAACTTTTTGTTTGTTAAAAGTAACTGGAATACAATGTCAAAAGTATCATTGCACAGCCATATTCTTTTAGGTTAACTACGGTTTTGGGGGGAGAACTCATTGCGACTGCAATGAGTTCTCCCCCCAAAATAAAGCAGTTCATATAAATATATGAACTGCTTTATTCTTTCTGCTCATGAATACATGCGATATGCTTGTTCTGTGTTCAAATCATCGCCCGCACGCTCCAAATCTTTGCAAATAGGGGGAAGCCAGAGGACAGGTGCGCGATAAAAACTGCCCAACATAGAAAATAATAAGAAAACACACCTTTCGTAGCCCACGTACTTTATTCTTTACGTTTCGAACGTTTTTTTTTTTTTTTTTTTAACCGCTAGTAGAGATGCACGACGGGGTCATTTTCATATAGTGAGAGGACAGGCATATTAGCAATATATAAGCACCAACGGAATGCTGGCGAACTTTGAACACACTCTACATTCCTTGCGATCATTATTTTGCTTAGAATCGTCGCTCGTTTCTACATACCTGCCATGGAACAGAGGTTTGGGCCTGAAATATAGCGAAGTTTAACATCGTTCAGTGGTAAAGGAAAAATGCTGTAACTAAAGCAATTACACTTTCACAATATTAATAAAGGTACATACTACCCGGTACAACCGAAATAACAAAAGTTATTAATGTTATTTTCCGGCGACGAGACAGAATTCACGCGCGTTTTCCCATAGGAATACACAGGAAGACTGGAAAAGTAGACTGCATGCCGTCTGCTTCAATTTGCAACCGGAAGTCCCATAGACACTAGCGCCAGCTGAGCCTCTAGCGTTTATTGTAATAACTCTATGGTTCGCTCTTTGCAAATTTAAAAAAAAAAAAAAAAAAAAAAGAAAACATTCTGTGGGCAACGCTGCACAATCGGCGTGAAATTTGCAGGTGGTATTTGTAGCCATAAAGAAGGGGGGCATGCAAAGTTTCAGCCTTGTGAACCAATTTGACAAGGTTCTAACACCCCCCTCCCCCCCCCCCCCCCCCCCCCCCAAAACAAAAAACGAAGTAAAGCATAGCTTTGCTGGAATCTGCTCAATGAATCTATCGCCGAGAAAGGGTGCTGATCACCAGTTTTTTTTTTTTTTTTTGTGGAATGCATACTGGAATACTTGTTGCCAATTACTATAAAAAGAAATTTAAGAAAATACAAATTTTTCAGGAAAAAAATGTATATATATTTTTTTACATTTGTTAAGCTTTGCAAATTAAAATTTTTCATAATAAAGGAACACGAAAATGCAAAATTTAAGTTCCATAGTAACCGGCTCGATAAAATTTTGACGTATAATCCGCAATTATTAAGTCTCCTGGCAGTTTCATACTGAATTTAACGAGTTTTATTAAGGTGGGATTTGCTGCCAAAAAGTGAAATGCACTTGAAATTTTAAGATGCTTTAAAAATTTCTTTTTGCGTCTTAAATGTCAGAAATTCCTTCCAGCAGTGTAAGTGATGGCTTTCTCAAACTTCTTCTGATATACTGACATTGCTTTCAGCTATTTTCACTTGCAGATGACGAGTGCTATGTAGTGCAGCACACCTCACCAACATATAAAGAATTATTTTTGATATTGTTTGTCAGTGCACATAGACAAGACTTTGCGAGTGTTCCTTGTTATCCATATATTCCAAAACTCTGCAGTTCTGAATCTGCATTTTTCGGAAAAACAAAATGAAATTCAAGGTAGTGTCCCCCTTCAAAAACAAAAGGGAAAAGGACGAAGAGATTACCAGACAATGTTCATGGGTGGTACGGGGAAGTTTCTACACAACCGTTTTTAACCGTCACTTCACTGCAAACTGCTTCAGCATTAGATCAGCTTAACGTCCAATGTTGCACCCGTGAGCTCTGCCTCTCCGTTAGCCAGCCTGCAAAAATTTTTTTCGATATGGGAGGACACCACTATAATCCCCATCACCATAAGTGCAAGCAAGAGAAGCTGCAAGATGGAGTTGCAAAGCTTGAAGCTGGCCAGCTATTTATTTGAACTGCTGGGTAGCTTGCAGTCCACACAGGAGGGAAAAAAACAACAGAATACATCACACATATTCAGTGATGCACTCAGTTTGGCTAAGGAAAAACAATATGCATAAAAAATATTGAGACATGCATTCAACCAATGAAGAAATTCGAGTTGTGCTTAAAACAATTAAAAACTGACACAAACAGTGAAAGGGAAAAAAAAAAAAAAAAAGAATCAGTTGCAGGTAAGGCAAAACCTCATTCAGTGCTCCAAGTAGCATGTAACCCAGTATACAGCAAGTACCGCAAATGTCTACAAAACCCTGCCAATTTGTGGACGGGTGTGCAGAGGACAAACCAGACAATGTTCTCATGACAGTATGTGCAAGCACCAACTAGGTGTTCAAAACTTGGGGGTGTCATCTTGTTGTACACTGCTTGCATTGCAGGTGCTAAGAGTTGCAAGATTGACAAAATTTATCAAGAGGACGTTGATAGGACCGAAAGAAAAATTTAGTTTTTAATCAAATTTTTACATGAAAACTTAGCACGCCATTCATTTTACTAAACGACAAGGTTTCGTGTTGTTTTTTTTCTGGAGGGCGCAAACATGTTAGGATTATGTGGCGGTGGTGGCAGGCAGGCGGGCAGATGGCTTGATAAAGTGTAGATTAAATCAGTTAAAATGGACAGCTGCGCACATTTTATGCCAAGCTATCTTTTTCTTTTTTTGCAAAAGCTATTGTCTTACATATTCATACCAGATAAAGAGCTCACATACAAAAGCCCCAAGCAGCACAAAGCATACTTACTTTTGAAACTGCGATCACTGGTTAATAACCGTCATCGGCTAGCCTATTCAGCCCAAGGCAGTGTTCTCTTGAATGCAGTTGTTTCTACCTGGAGTGCTCGCTCAGGAGTTTGGTCAGACTTGACTAGGAGCTCCTCCAAGCAAAATCCACATGCACGCAGGAGAACGAACCAGAGCCGTATGCTAGGATCGCAGCCTCTTGAAACCCTTTGTCTTTCGATTTGGCCAAGCCATAAAAAACAAACACGAGGGGACAAACAATCAACAACGTCAGCAAAGTGGACCTCTTTAATTTGTCATCGTGAATACAAATGTCCTTAAAGATGTGAATTCCGTGACACTCTCTTATGGGTGCTCTGTAAGTTATACAACCTATCGTCAGTGATAAATCATCTAAAACTTCGAAGCAAATAAAGAAACAATAAATCACACGGCTCAAGTACAAAACAAAACAGACTGCAACAAGTTTGAAGCTACTGGAATGTACTCAGAATATGTACATGTGTAACTCACACATGAGGACATATCATCTTTGAATACATAAATCAATGATATACAAGACTTTCTTTCATCAACAAAGCAAAAATTCATAACAATAAACGTAAATAATAATAATAATAATAATAAAAAAACTACTTCATAAAGAAACAGAACACCGGCAATAAACATGGCAATGGCCACCACAAGTAGGCCAGTGCCCCACCGAACAATGCTCCTCAGCTTTGCACTAAGTTTGGAATGCAGGTTAGGAAACACACAAGCCACGCCCTTGCCACCCCCTAGAGGCTTGCCTTCCAAAGCGCCGTACCAAGTCCTGAGCCGAGAAGCAAAACAAGGCAAAACTGGCCCCCGTCCAAAAATTCCTCCATTTCACCCCATTTATCTCAAGAGGAAGCAAGGACATACAGCTAAGTGAGCATCTTCACCGGGATCGTGCACTCAGGACTTGAACCACACAGAATTTCAACCCTGGTACCATCAAAACAAAAACGGGTGCCTCACCTATCCTATCTCGTCACGACACAATAAGGAAATCTTTTTTCTTTTTAAATAAAGTCCTTCCTAAGGGCCAATAGAAAATAACTGCCGACCCCCAAAAAATGTTACAGCACTCAAACCAGCATAAATGAGGCACCGCAAAACACAGCACATTGCAACCAAACCACCGGTCAGAACTCCAAAGCATGACGCAACTCGCAAAGTCTGCCACACACCAAAGGGGGCTCACACATCTGAAAGCATGGCACACACAAGCACGCTGAAACTCAACAGCTCACCTCGCATCTGCAAAGGTCCCACCCCACAAATCTGAGACCTGCAGCACCAATTCCACGAGATGCCCTGGAGACCGCACTCAAATGCACAGTGTTCAAAGTCCTAAATGCTGATTATCACCTGGCATAACAACTTCGGAGAGCCAATGCAACCTGACCCTTGAATATGGCAGTGTACAAATGCATGGGGTTAAAAAAATATGCTTAAGTCAATCTGCCAATGCAAGTCCTCGTGCCAGCGTCCCACCAGAGTAACCCCCCCCACTCCCTTCTTCCAAGCACTACTACGAGCGTCCCGAAAATCCACAATCAATCTTCTGTCGGCTAAGAAGCGGCACACTGCCAACAGGTACAAGAAGCCAGTGTTACCGTGTTACCCATGTGAACAGGTCTCGTCTCCAGTAGAGAAAATATGACTACCCACTGCCTTAAAAACCTGACCCAGTCTAGCACTAAACTCGGCCGGATACGCAAAAGCACCCAGTGGATCGCCAACTAAGTCAAAACAAAAGTAGCTTGGAAAAGAACATACAAAGCTCCTCAAGACTGACAAAAGACAGAATGCACCCAAAAACACAGAGGATAATTGCACAAGACCCAATCCAACCACTTCTCTCAGCAGCGGTCGGCGGGCTTCTTTAAGGCTTGGCTTCCATCGACCGACTGTGGACACAAGCATGCTGTCCCAAAATCTCCAAATGCATTCTCCACCATAGACCCTGCACCTAATTTGCTCCACGATCGAGCCCACTGTATGGGCAAAACAACCACGAGTAGACATTCTCTGTGGGCACAATTGAAAATGAGCCTAGGCACACTGACACTGGCACAAGTTCCATTATGCAATGAGTGAGCAGTATTCAAAATACACTGTTTTGGCCTTTACAAAATAAAGCCTTTTGGCTAGCCCTCCATCATAGTGTGCCAAAGTTACTTCTTCCAGTTTTGACGTACCCCTGTATGCAAAGGATAACACTTGCGCCACACATGAACTAAGGATGTACATCTTTGCTTGTATAAGCCACAACCACGCAACAAGCAAAAACAATATGTAGCTGTCTGTCATAAACATACATCTATGCAAAGGTTGAGCAGCTTAAAATAGAGCTATCCAGATTTGGTGACTCAGCACAGGGAGTTTAGTAAACAACAAAACCAAAAAACAAAGCAACAAGTGTATCAACATAAATATGTTTAAATCCGTGCACACCGCTTCTTGGAATAGACTGCTTCCATAAATATGTCACCGCAAGCGTTGCATTCTGGGAACCTGTGGGACAAGAGCGGAGCACGTATGGATTTTGCTGCCCACTGATTCCCAGAATGCATACGGTGACATTACGCCAGGATGAGGCGCTTCGAGTTTTGGAACAAGTCTATTGGTGCATCATAGAACTATTCAAATTATTTAACCAAAATAGCATATTTCCGCCTTAAAGAAAAGAAAGCATATAAGCAGTCAAATGCATATCGCCTTTTGACTAGCAAATACCACATAGCACTTCTGGTCTCCTGAATGACAAACCTCACTGTAAAGCTATTCACAAAAGTCTGCAAACATAAATATCAGCTGTAAATAAAAAAAAAAGGTTGTGGCTAGAACAAACAAGACCTAGAACCTACAAATTGCACATTCAATTGCCATGTGTGAAGCACCTAAGAAAAAAAAAAAAAAAGGCAAACACAAAAAAACACAACTGAAAAGCATTTGTTAAATGATGCTTTCGCATAACTAAACTGTACTTCGAGAGATTGCTTTCTTTTTCTTTTTTTTACTTTCCCGTTTCAGACATCTACCTGTACAAATATGCCACATGATACACAAAGCTTGACCAGTCATCCCCGAACCCCATTGTGGAACCCAGATCGTCGCGCAAATTAAGGAGAAAGTGTACAAAAAGCCAGTCGACACTAGCGCAACTGCTAATGCTTGTTTGTGATGTCATCTACTTTCTGAAAACCACCTCAGTTGAAAGTTGCTTTCCCCAGCAATGCAGACATGTATGCTGGCACCACTGACAGGTGTTCAAAACAAAGGACAAATATTAAACAATCTCTAAGTACTTGGGAAGCCTTTCACACACTTTCCTCTTACGCAGTCAACAAAAGTGAAAAGAGAGGTCCAGAGAGACTGTGGCTGGCCAAGCGGCAGAATACAGCTCTCAAGAGAAGAAATTCACAGCAAAGCTAAGTCTGGTTGTAAGAGTAGTAGAAAGCGAGCACTGCTCTCCAGACACCCCCCCCCAACGAGGTATCGCCTCCTTCTTGCGACAAACGGCGCAAGTGGAAAAGCTTCGAGGAAAGATGCAACTTGGGCACTTGCAGTTTGTTCATCACCAGAAAAGCACGATAAGAAACGTCTAATGCTACCCACGGCCGTACCCTGATCACTGGTTGTTCTAGATGAGGTGGATGTGTGCATCACTCCTTTCGGGACACAGTTCCTTAAACTCCAGAACACAACCCTCGTTTGATCCGCAGCGATTATGCGCGATTGCCCCGTCCAATGGAAAATGGCTGCCCTGTTAAAACCTGCCAATGTCTTCGGAGTGTTAGCACCTTTGCACGCCACTAAAAAAAAGTGCCAGAAAGATGCTAGGAAAAGAGCAATGTGGCACCAGAAGCGGAAACAAGGCTGTTGCCAATTATCCAAAATCCAAGTCCCTTGCATGGATCACGTTTGTGTTTTAACAACCTTGTTTCTCCAAACAAGAGGGACTGAATGGGGACAGCACCGGGATAAATTAGGTCAGGTAAAAAAAAAAAAAAAAGAAAAAAGAAAAGGTGATGCAACAACTAATGATCTAGCCTGCGAAAAAAAAGCATATGCCTAGCAACGTTTAACAATGAGTCATAAAACTGACAAAAACATGTTTTCTCAACTTGATATTCCTCAAATGTATCACCATGGAATGTTTTATCAGAGCAGCCTAATTGCCAATGGTACAAAAAGGGTCATAGTGGAACACAGACTTCAGCAGTGTCATATTTGTTTTCTAATATTATACTTTTCGTTTTTGCGCACAGCATGACCTTCATTAAAATTTCTCTATCTACAATCAGACTTGAATTTGTAGTTGTCCCAGAACTAATGAGGCAGCTTTTGTCTTTGAAAAAGAGAAAAAGGCACTCCAACTGAAGCAACTTAATGCTGGACTTATGCGAGTGCCCAAGAGAGTTGTGCTTGAAGTTAAGTGTGCCAAACAACTGCAAATTTAATAGAATGGCAGCTTTCTTAAATTGTATCAAAATCTCTTCAGGGATTTGGAGAGGCACTTTGTGGTGCTACTTCCTAGGAACCAGACTGGCTACCCGCTGGCAACTATACCTCAATTAAAAATGGCTTTGCACAGAGTTTCCAATTTCACTAAATCAAGGCAGTCCAAATGCCCGGCCACACTCCGGCATTTCACCTGCCTGCGCCACATTTTGTACGAATTCGCTGTCAGAGAATTTGAAATGCGAGACGCGGATAAAAGCAGCACTCTCAAGAGAAGAGCCCTGTACAACTCCAGAGCGTGCAGCGCCCTGCGGACACACAATCCGAAAGCACCGTAGGAACTCGAGAAAGTCAAAGCTTCACTTAGACCATTCACACAAGACGGAAATTTAGAGTTGGGAGCATTTTCGACACAAAAACACACTGGAAAGAAAGACATGCTCGCCGTGAGTATTAAAAAAAAAACACTCCTTAAATCAGAGGATGGCACATGATGAGCGCAGGCACAGGTTTGTTACCACCCTATTCCAATATTCATAAAACGTTGCCCCTCAAATCACATCACAAAACATAAAAAGAAAACCGAAGCCACTCTCAAAAAGCATTGCAACACATGAGATCCGGAGACACCAGCACACGCATCAGTCATAAAAATCTGCCCCATCCCCGCACACACACGCGACAGTCTAAACAAAAATACTGATATAAATTTATATATATATATATATATTCATTATGTATAATGATATATTTACTCTGATACAAACTTGTGTGTTCCCACGAGCGAGGCGGCAGGACCCTGCCTCGGAGGTCGGGAAAGTCTCGCCCCCGCTGCCTCCCTTAGCTGTACAGCCGCGCACACCGGCATCTCCACCTCCCCCGATATGATTCGCCCTTGTAAACATGCATCACAGAATAGACTAGCTTTCTTCTCAATATTTATATTAAAATCCTTCCTTCTATTTAGGTATATAATATATATATATATATATACATACATATATATATATATATTTATAAAGGCACCCTGTGCAGATGTCCAGACATAGGGAATCTTTCCGGGGCCACCGGAAGGTGGGAGGGCGGTGGGGGGTGAGAGGAGGAGCTAAAGCACTTGGTTGTCCTAGGAGTGCCGCAGGTGTCACTTTTCTGCCATGGGCAAGTGAGCCGTCGCCGAGCTCGTCTCCACGGCAGACGCCACCATGCTCTTGTCCAGAGTGGATTTGATGAGGGCTTCGAGGATCCCCTCAGTGGGCACGGTACCCTTCTTCTCCGCGTCGCACGTCGATGCCTGCAGTTTGCGCATCATCTGCGACGCAAAGAAGCCGCCGCTCCCCAACTTGGCCAGGTCGGCCGAGAGGAAGGGCGCCGCCACGCCCCCCGCCTCGTCGGCCCCTTCCAGCTTCAGGTGGTGGTAGCCTTTCGTGGGCGGCGGCGTGCAGCCGGGCCGCTTCTTGGGTCGCAGCAGGTGCCGCTCCTTCACCTTGTACTCGAGCGTCGAGTGGGGCACGCCAAAGTAAGTGCCCGCCCGGTGCACACTCATCTCACCCCGCTGCACGGCACGCACAGCCTGCAGCAAGTTGTCTCTGTCATAATTGCGGTAGCGTCCGCGCTTGGGTCGTGTTCGCTTCTGTTCTCCGGCTGGCTGCTGGTCGGGTTTTGACGCGCCGCCACTTCCTCGGGGAGCCGGTGGCGGTGGCGACACTGGCACGTTGCCGCCATTGCTCTGCGGCGACTTCTCCGATGACGAACAGTTGCTGCTACTGCTGTTGCTCGCCGTCGTACTGCTCACGGCAGGACTGTGCACGCGCTGGCTAATGCTGCGCGCAATCAATTCCTTTAGCGAAAGGTTACCGCCACTGCTGCTTTCGGACACACTCGTCGAAGCACGCGGCGCAGCAGCAGTGGCAGGAGGAGCGGCGGCACTGTTGGCGGTGGCTGGTTTGTAGGACGGAATCTTCAGTATCACATTGTTGGCACTGTCGGCGACATGGTTGCTCAGCAACACCGGTGGCTGCGGCTGAGATGCGGGCAGGTGGTGGTGGCGACTGCGCTCCTGTGCAATTCGCTCTTTGGCCAGCAACCGTATCAGGTCGGAAACGACGGGAAGCTTCGGCTCGGACGAGGGCAGTGGCGGCGTGCTCAGCTGCGCATGGCCGTCCTTGGAAGGCTGCAGGGCCAGCTGCTGGATGCTGGAAAGGAACTGGGCACGCAGCACACCATCAATCACCCTGTCTGCCGTTCCCATGATGCAAGAACACTTTTGAATGAACGACTGGCAGGATGACTGAAACAGGATGCCAACAGTCACTTTATAAATTCTAAAGAAGCACTTCTCTCTGTATTGAACTCACCATATTGGTGTGTTAATGTGTGTTAGCGAAGTGCATTTTTGCTTTATTTTTCCTTACGAGGAATCGCAATCCTTTTTTTAACCATTCCTTGTGCTGTTGACTCCTGAATAACAAACAAAGGAATAGTACCTTTAAAAGGCGTACTCCGCCGATTTCTTTACCTACCTTAACCAACTATATTTTCAAAAATCACCGGTTTTTATCCTTTCCGGTACACTATTTGGGATTGCGAAATAGACCTATTGCTATATTACCAAGCATCAAGGAGTATACAGGGATTTGTGTTCCACGCGCCGCACAGGCTGGCCTCAGCAGTAGTAACTTTTCTAAAGCAAATACCTGAAACAAATCACATCTTGCACGTGCGTTCATAAACGCTTTATATTGGTTATTTACTTATAATCTTTTACACAGGGAAGGCGTGCGCATGTGGTGCGTGGAACACCGTTCCCTGCATTGTCCTTGATGCTCGGGTGATATAGCAAATGGTCTATTCAGAATGGTTATTGCAAAATTCGCAAGTGAAAATGATGCCAAAACAAACATTCAAATTTCTTTTCAGTGCCGTGACGTCAGTGAAAGGCAGCCTGCAGGTCTGGTGGGCAATCTAAAAATGGACTAGTATTTCCGAGCATTTGTCTCATGCTGCTGCGCGAGCACTGGAAGGAGCTCCCAAAGCATTCCTCTGACACCATGAAACTGCTTGTAATCAGTCGGGAACAAAGTCTACAGTTCAAAGAGTGAACCCCTGCCTTCTGCTGTTTTTCAGTTGCCAGTAGAGACTTTCACTTTTAAAAACACGGTGAGGACCAAAATTCTAAATTTAATAAGTTCGCAAAAAATCATATTTTGGCCCAATATTTGGGTTACTATTTCAGCAGTTTGTCGGTGTGTTTAGCAAATTTTCAGGCAAATCAGGGACTATGAGGAAAACGTTGGAGTATCCCTTCAAAGGAATACTCCAACGCAATGAAATTTGGAAACTTTTTTTTTCTTGATCTATACGCGTTCAAGGGAGCAGTATGACATCAGACACACGAATCTCTTGTTGAGGAAAACACAAAAAGAAATTTTAAAAGGAATTAAACGATTAGCAAAGTGCACCTGGTGGATGTCGCTAAATCCTCGTTTGTAATGCCCGTCCAGGGACCTTGACAGATAGTGACAATGCCTTCTTGCCTAGAACTATAGATGCCTTGAACCTTACATCATTCCATCAGCTCTCCAAACACCAGGAGAGACGAGGGAAAGGAGGAACTCCCCTCGTACCAGTATTCTCTTTTGTGTGTCCCAGACATGCCCAGATGTCGCTATTGTACCTCTACAAGAATAGGAAGTTTTAGAATAGCGCACGCTAAAGCTTTGCATATGCAAAGAAAAGCGTCGTCGCAAGTGCGCATGCGCCAAACACTAACCATGTTTTGCGCTTGGCGTGCGCTATTGTAGAGCGTGCAATTTCTCGAAAATTGCGTGAGTATGCAGAGTCTTTGCGCTTCTCCAAAAAGGATTCATGATGAGAAGTTGGCTAAAGCCAAGGCGAGCACAGTTAAAAAAGAGGCCGCATCTCCACGTGATGAATGATGTTGATCTCCACGTGGTGAATGATGTTGATTGGGGTGAAGCTCTGGTGGTGCTGATGATACTGATTTTATTGTTCATAGGTAGTACTGATGCTGCTGATTTTTCCTTATTCTCATAGGTAGAGCTGAGTTCCGGGTTGCGTTTCCACTTCATTATACTGCTTTATGGTCGGTCAAATGCAGAGCCAGTGGTTCTTCTAGCGGATCAGCTTGGATCCGCTAGAAGCCGTGGGAATGCATCTCCACCGCTTAAGTCAACGGTCCATGTTAGAAAGAGAATGTGTGGTATGGATCGTGGTTATATATGCAGTTGAGCATTTGACCACAGCGCCCTCTTGTCTATAAACGTTGAGCCAATGCATGTAAAGTTTAACGCAATTATATACGCATTTGACTGCAGCGCCCTCTCCTGTATAGACGTTGAGCGGCTACATGCAACGTTGGAGTGTAGCGTAGTGGTTAAGACGTCTGCCCTCGTAAGCAAGTGGTCCTGAGTTCGAACCCCCGTGCGGGCGTACATTGTTTTTTTTTTAAGTGGGCTGATCCTGGATGCAGTGCAATCAATGTGAGCACGGACGTCGGATGGACAAGGCTAGACCCTAAGGAGCTTCGCCCCTAAAATGGCGGCTCCCAGGACCATGGCTGCGATTCTCAATACGGGACGACATTGCACTCGGTTTGAAAAACCCAGTAAGGTGGGCAACGATCACCGGGAACTTGATGCTTGCAACGCGTGAACATTTATCGGCGAAGGTCAGTACACGAGACCTCTCTTGCCGAGGCGACGCATGCGGACACGACCAGTCAACTGCTCACGTCGCATTCTCCCGTTTAAACAATTTTAAAATGTTACTCTCGACCAAACAACTTGTTTTTTCTCAAGTTACAGCATTTCATATGTGAAATAAAAATGGTGACTATCTTGGTGGCTTCGCAAGAGCGAGATGCTTGGGCTTTTGCGTCGCGGCAGAGAAACGCTATTCTAAAACTCTCATGCATCATGTGCGCTAACGCAAGCGCAAAATTTAGCGCTAGCGTGTCCTAAAATTGCGTGCATTATTCTAAAACTCCCTATTACATAAGATTAACCTGTCACTAAAAATTCGTACAAAAGCAGCTTTGCGGTTAGTTGTGGTGGTCCGATCGCTGGCGTGCTTCGGCCGCTTCGGTGGCTGAAGGGGCTAGGGCATCCTGTCAATGTCAGCCTCACCACAGCTTTGCTCGTCCTTAGACAGTTTACGTCACGATTACCCGGATGTGACATGGTCTCCTCTGGCCACTCTCAGAGCGCTAGTCAGAATGGTCCGTTGATAACAAAAAATACAGCCATCAGGCTCAAAATACAAATGTGCGATTGTCATTTACGGGTATTGTGGATCATACTCAGCCTATTTCTGAACACAACAGGTATATTTCGAATTTCGTTGAAGTATCCCTTTAAAGAGACAGTGAGCCTAGGAAAACATTTCTTTTTTCTCCTGATTAAGACAGGCATGTCTCAAAATGAATTATCGTCAAAACAATTCTTTTTATTTTTCCCCCATATTTATGATACAATACAAATTTTTCGATTTGTGGGCGAAACCGAAATTATACCTCTCTGGGATGATGATAATAGCGTTTGTACCCAAGTAGTGCGCACTCTGAGTTCGCTGGACCTCAGAGCGCACACTAGTTGGGTACAAATGCTATCATCATCATCCCACAGGGGTACAATTTTGGTTTCGCCCACAAATCGAAAAATTCGTATTGTAGCATAAATATATTGAGCACACATTTTTTTTGTTTTGTTTGATAAACATTTATTTTGAAACATGCCTGTCCTAACCAGGTTAAAAAAAAACATTTTTTTCTTTTATGTTTAGTGTCTTTTTAAAGGGGCACTGACACATCAAAATCATAATTTATTTTTATTATCCGAAACGATTGAAAACAATGCCGGGACATTACCCTCAATATTTGAAATTTGGGAATTCAGTATTTGTGAAGTAAAAAAAACAATTTCCAAATGCCGAATTCGAAGTTCCCGCGCGATCCGCGCCGGTGCGTCAAATATTGCAAAGTCCTGAGAGTCCACTTTCTTTCACGACTCCCTGCTGTTGCCATGGCGACCCAAAGCAAGGAGGAAAGGAGCGAGCGCCGGCGTTGCGGCGGACCGGTTTTGAGCGGCGTCGCCTGTTTTCCGCGGGAGGATACAAATCCAGGAGACAACACTACAACGAACTCCCGATTTTTGGTATTTCAAAAAGAAGGGCCGTAGTGCGTTCGCAATTGCGTTAAAAAACATGTTTTAGGATTGCCGTTATTAAATGTTATATAATGTCGCCTACAAAGCTTCTAAATTTCATGATTCTTGACGTCATGAATCAAAAGAAGCGAGGAGGCGAGAGGCGGGAGAATCAAACGCCAAAAATAAAAAGGCGCGCGCGCGCGGAAATTCTTTTTGCGATGCGTTGTTTTTTTGTGTGTCTATGACTGCTTCGTTTTAGACAATAAAAAAAATACGACCTTTGGGGTGTCAGTGCCCCTTTAAGTAAGAGATTCCAAGGGACAAGGTGGAAATGCCCCACCACCCTCAACTTCCACTTATCACGAGAAAATATCTCTCTAAAAACAGGAAAAACTAAGCTATTTTATGAAGGTCCATTTATCCAGAAAGTTCCATGTATGCAGGTTCCAGAGATTCTACTGTATATATGGAGTGAATGCAACCAATGACCCTTTTGAAATCTTGGTGAAAACCCTTTTGAAATCTTGGTGAAAAGCTCGAATCATGTGACACACTGCAGGCAACAGATCACCAATGATGAGGAGCGGCAGAAAACCAGGGTATGTAAGCGTCCATGGCATACTACTGCAGTATCCCATTTATGCAGAAAAACAAAGCTCAGCATGCTGCCCTCCTCATCAGTAAAGGTCTTGCATACTAACAAAATCATGAGCAGCAGTATTCCCCATCTGAACAGCGTTACGGCATGAGCTATGAACTCTTGTCAGCCTCTTTTGCCATGGCGGCGAAATGATTCTGTCGAGCCCACTGAGAGAAGCCCAAAAGAAGCTAGCATACTGCATGTAAACAATATGCACAAAGCTGAGTAATTGCCGTCCTTGTACTATATAATTCACTGTCAGCAGTGTGGATGTCAGTGTGGACAACATGGTTTCAAAGGTTTCACTCAAGTCCACTGGAAATCGTAGCATACTTTTGTGTCATTGTGTAATGGTGGTAGAGGTCCGAATAGCCAGCCTAACCTCTAGAATGCTCAGCA